ACGTAGATATGAAGGGTCGATGAATTTGATCAGATTTTTGGAAATTTTTGAATTTTGATTTATGAGTTGAAATGTCGAAATTTCATGAAGGAAAAAACAGTAAACTGAAATAATACTGAAATTCAAGAAAATAACTTTCTTCAAGAAATAATTTTCAGAAGATCTTTGACCATCAAGTTGGAAACAAAGTTCCCTGTCCATTTGGACGCAGTTTCAAGGATAATACAAATGAAGGTTTCATAAGTCTGAATGAGCGGAAGAAAATAATTAGCATGCAGTAGGAAAAAAAACAAGAAATTCAAAAACACAAATATTTCAAATGCGAAAAATTTCCAAACTTTAAAGAAACCTCTAAAGAAACTTAGTTATAAGCAAGAAATTCAAATTTTAAAATTTTAAGATGTTCCAGAAAAAATTCTGGCTTTCGAAACTTCTAAAAAAGAAATTTGAAATTTCAAAAAGAAAAAATTGTCGACAAACATATATTAGCAAAAACAAACGGATTACAAGGATTGATGTAACACAATAATAAATACTATGGCTGGCCTGATTAATCAACGGTTAAATTATAGCTATGTTTTCAAAGCATAAAAATTGGCTATTCAATTTGCATATTTCGACACTTCAAATGAATCATCCGTTTTTATATTTTATTAAATATTTGTCGTACTTCATAAACCTTTTTATGATTTCAACTACTGACAGAAAGGTAAAATCGCTTATGTACTTACTCATCTGAACTGGTCAATCAATAATAAAAATCAATCATTTTATTCGGATTTTCTTCCAAATTGTCGAAAACCAACGATTGCATATACAGGACCGACATCGAAACGAAATTCCGTTTCAACTTGATAGTCAACTCCAGTCATCGATGATTCATCAAGTAAACGTAATGTACTCAGCGGAATGTCTGGGAATGTATTACTGCAAAGGAAAAATGATATTAATTGCAAATTCTCGAAAATTAAATAGACGTACGAAAATCCAATAACAATTATAATGTCGCATCAGTCATTTGATGAGTTTATATCTTACGTTACTCTCTTTTATGCATGGCTGTGATGTGAGCCTTCGGAGTGCATCAGAAATTCGAATTCATTTGGTGCAGCATCTAACGTATGTAATGCTATCATTATTAATAGTATGCTTATTCACATTTAATGTTAATGTTTATCAGTGATCAATCCATAATCTTATCAGATCAGAGAAAAGCAAAGCCAGCTGAATCGTTTATCCCTGTCCACTTTTGCTGTGACGTTTCCGCAACACATCAATATGTGATTCTGAAACTGATCATGAATATCTCGTTGAATATTCTAAATATCCTACCTGAATATCTCTTCGTTATCCTCCGGCTCAGTGCCATTGACCACAGTAAAATGGAAGGCTATTACTTGATGACTGTTAAGGAACAGCAATTCCTTCTGCAAAAAAAGGATAATTTTACACAATTAGCAAAAGTTATAACAAGCATATTTTTGACAAATACTGACAACACGTGACACGTGAAGTCACGTAAAAAACGCAGCTAAACTCAAAAAATTTGAAGAATCAACAAACTTTCAATGAGAAAATGACTTCACAGCATAAACGAAATTGAAATAAATTAAAAAATAATTAGAGCGAATAAACAAATCAAACCTTCCAATTTTCAAACTTTGTTTTCAACATTTCACTGGTATCTTTTTTATTTACGAGAAGGATCGATGCTTTTACGTCAGGTCCGTAAAACATTAACACTCTGCCATTCCCTATGAAGTTATTGTAGCTTTTACTGAAACTGAGATATTTGTTGCGGCAGTATTGAAATATTCATCGTTTGTCCATAATTATTATAACATTCGTCCTGTGTTGGAAACCTCAAGAAAGACATTCTTATTCAACACCAGAATTAATTGATGTTCATCCTATCAAACACATTCTGTGGATGAATTGTTGTCATAATCAACTCCATTCTTTGTTGGCCAAGAAACAATCAAGTCTGACTTACTTATTATCTCGATTATCCGATTGAGCGACAACACAAATTGGTGCGCTAACAACTTGCTTTCGAATTTCTTCGACTGCATTCAGTGCTTCACTTTTAGCGCCTTCATCATCGTTACTAATCACAATGAGCAACTTCAGCTTATCCTGGGATTCATGATTATTTCATTAATTTCCGAAGATCGTACTTCTAATAAGCTCTAGAAATGAAATCTTCCACTTCGTTATCAACATAATACTTCGGCGTGTCACATACTGATGCATTAAAGCTTTAATTAACTCACTTCAGAGATTCTCTGGCCAGTTTGATCGTTAATATTTCTGTAGCGTACACTGAAAAAACTGTTGCAGTTACAGACAAGCATGACAATGACCAACATACCCATTGAATATTGAATATTCGGTAGAGTCCTTCATTGATCTTTTGAGGCAGAATGAATTACATTCTTCATGTACTGGTTCAATTCTAATTCTAATCACATTCCCTAATTAAAATGTTTGCGCTATTATGCCTTCCGATTACAATTCTTAGTATATTTAAACAAAGAGATATTTCATTATCACTCAAGTATCACTTCATTATCATTAACACTCAAATATTATAACCAGTCGACTGTTACATTCAATTACTGATGCAAAGTTTGGAATAGAAATTACTACAGTATTTGTGCCGAAAAACGATTAAATTACAAAATTGGATGACTTTGGCATAATTTGACAATGATTACAGTTTGCTTCTGTTAATATCAAAGATGACTAACGCAGAGTCGATAAACCGGGAAAGACAGTGATCGTACGAGGATAAACTTAAATCGTATGGGATAATTACTCCGTTCATTGGACTTTCATCGGGTTGGAATGGGTCATTTGCTGGAATCACATAATTAGAGCTATTTGTTTATTTAACATTGATTCAATGCCATTTTTTGATCAATTACAGTAGAATTATTATGCAAAAATCCATTACAATTTTCTAACCAGATACGAATTCCTCCTCTATTACTAGATGATCTTCGTGAGACGTGAATATCAGCACTGAACAACGACAACGACAACGACTGGACGCCGCAGTTATTACATTGACCGGTTTTTCTCTACCAAACAAAATAACTTGACCTGGTGTCCAGAGATGCATCGCGAAATATTCTGTGTGCTAAAGCTTAAATTTGCATCATTACGTCATCAAATCTTCCTCTAAGTTCCTTCTAATTTTTAGTTTCTGATTTTTGATATGAACAAAGAATGGAGCATCGATGAAATTCATCCTAGATACGAGTTCCAAAGCATTCTCTAAATCTCGAGGGGTTATTTTGCCGTCCCGGTAATGTAGTATTCTATTTGGACGATTTAACTCGTGATTTGGAGATTCATATTCATACAGCATGGGGAGTGCCCTGTAAGACGATATGAAAAAATAATCCATTATTTTTATTATTTCCAATCAATTCATTATAACTTATTAACTCATTCCAATTTTCCTTATCTCCTACAATTACTAGTGATCGAAATTGCAAAATTTGGCGGATATGACCTTAGGATGTGACCGGATATGACCTTTCAGACCTTAGGGAATATCTGTAACGTGATAATATAAAAGTGAAAGAAAAGTGCTAACTTGCTAAGGTTTTTTAAATCTTCGCGGGGTAAGTGACTAACAATTATATGTCTCACTTGTTTAAAAACAAGGACTAGTTTATTGGGATACCGAAATTTAATTTTAATCTTTCTTTTTTTATGAGCGTTGGATCCATCCTCACCTGTTCCTTCTGAAATTTCAATTAATTCATCACTAAAGTTCTTGTTCTTTACATATTTAAACAGAAAGAGTAAATTCATTCAAATTTCCCAATTTTGTACAGTGTACCATTCCAAAATAGTTCAGTTAAATTAAAAATTTTGGAAATTCAAAAAGTCTACCTGTTGCTGATGTAATATTGGATGATATTACGACGAATGTAAGGATAGTAAAATATTCGAAGTGCATTGCTATCAGTAGCTGTAAATTAAAAATATACTCAATGATTCGAATAATCTTACGAATTTGTCGGAAGTGAATTTTGAATTCTTAGAAGTCTGAGAATGGATCCAATCATTTTGGATGTGTGATAAATCTGCTTGCTAAAGGATATAGTTTTTCCCCGAGTTATTCGTAAAACAAATTTTTTCACTTTATTGTATGTTTCTTTTGATGAGTAATGACGCTAAGTGATTAGTAATATGCGTAAGATTTAGGCCAAAATTCGATTGTCTTGGTGAAGGATAAGCTCTACAATTGCCTTTCATCTTAGTTACGATGATTAATTAAAATGAAATGAGTAAACTAGTTAAGATTAAGTGACTAATTAAGATAAAATGCATTTCACACTGATGAGTAATATGAAATGAGTAGAAGAATTTGTAAAAACGAATTTGGTGAGGAGGAAAGCAGTTTTGTGACAGTAGACTGAATTCTGAACAAAAATACTGATCTTTTATAGCCAAAAGATCGAATCAGTCAAAGATCAGAAAGGTTCAGGAAAAATCGAAATTAATTTCAGTTTTCCATTTTGCATTGAATGGTAATGCATTGTAAAGCAGAAGTATTTCATACAAATTATGCAAAAAAGTGAATAATACTATCACAAACAGTTTTTCTATAGAAATTGGGATTAACACAATATTTTGTGTCTTTGGAAGCCTTTTTTGACGACTTCCGAAATGAAAGGAATCCAATAGTAATGATGGACAGACGATGAATGTTTTTATATTGCTGCAACAAATGTCTCAATTTCAGTGGCAAAAACATCTGGGAAGAGGATGGCATGGTGTTAATATTTTATGGATCTGACGTAAATGAATCGGCCATCCACATAAATGAGAACGATAATAAGAATACTTTGAAAACTAAGTTTGGGGATTGGAAGGTTTGACGTGTTTATTCACTTCAACTGGTTCTTTATTTGCTTCAGTTTATTCGTAATCGTAATATTGCAAAGTCATTTTCTCATTAATAACATTACTAACATTTTACTGCCAAATTAGCCTGTCAAGTTTTCAAACGTTTGAGGCTTGACCGCGTTTTCTACGTGACTTCACGTGCTGTCAATGTTTATCAAAAACATGCATATCATAAGGTTTGCTAATTGTGTAAAATTATCCTTTTTCTGCAGAAGGAATTGCTGTTCCTTAACAATCATCATACAATAGCATTTCATTTTACTGTGCTCAATGGGATTGAGCCAGAAGATAACGAAGAGATATTCAGGTAAGATATTTAGGAAATTCGATGAGACCATTAAATTATCAGTTTTCATATTGGTATAATGCGGTTCTGACTATGTGACTGATCACTGGCAAACATTTCAGATTGTAATACCCAGTGAGAGCAAGCATATTAGATAGTGTTTTATACGTAACTACGCTAAATGAATTCGAATTTCTGACTCGTTTCGAAGGCTAACGTGACAACCATGCAAATAAGAGGGTAATGTAAGACGTAGTAG